CAATACCAGCCAAGAGACCAGACAACATCATTCACATTCTCTGGCTTAACAAGTCACTGTGATAGTGTGCAGTTGGTTTTTTCGGGCTCAGACACTGTGCACCAGAATAGTTAATTGGGCAATAAGGCCACTCAATTTCCCCTAAAACACACATCGGTTCATTAGTCCATTTATAGCTATGGCCTGACATCTCTTACCTAATCACAACTAGACTGGCTATGTCTTTGCCATGAGTGAACGAGTAACCCTGAAACAAGACAGAGCAGGTTGGTTGTGGCCCAAGAGTTAATGAAACAATTCAAGAGTCCATGGATAAATGTTACAGGATAATTAAACAAACAGAATTTTATGTAGAACAAAATGTTTCCATGTTTTCAGATTATAAACATGCTAAAACAAAAGAGTGTCAGCAAGAATCAAAGGAAAGGTGTACAAGACAGTAGTGAGACCAGCTATGCTGTATGGGTTAGAGACTGTAGCAGAGAGGAAAAGACAAGAGGCAGAGATGGAGGTAGCAGAGATGAGGATGTTGAGGTTTAGGAGTGACCAGGATGGACAGGATTAGGAATGAGCACATCAGAGGGACAGCTCAGGTCGGCTGTTTTGGGGACAAGGTCAGAGAGGACAGATTGAGATGGTTTGGACATGTGCAGAGGAGGGATAGTGGTTATATTGGTAGAAGGATGTTGGAGATGGAGCTGCCAGGCAAGAGGTCAAGAGGAAGGCCAAAGAGGAGATATATGGATGTGCTAAAAGAGGACATGAAGTTAATTGGGGTGAGAGTAGAGGATGCCGAGGATAGAGTTAGGTGAAGAATAAAGAAGAATAAATGACAGCAGACAGATTTACTTTACACACTCAGCAAGAGTAACATACCATATTACAATAATACATTCAAACCTTTTCCATTACCAATGGAAGCAAGTGTTTAAGAGCAAAACTTGATACCTAGTTTACTTTGGGACAACACTTGTCTGGAGGGTTGTGTCTCTAAAAAAACAAAACAATAAAATCTAACAGTTAAAGTCTCTTTTCCAATCAAGACCCCAAGCATGCCTTTGTGATGTGAAAGCTTGGAGGGACGAGGCTTTGATGGGCAAAGGATGTCTGAGCGTGCCATGTAGAAATGCAGTGCCTGCAGTCCACATTCAAACCTTGTGTCCTTGGGCAAGACACTGAACCCCCAAGCTGCCCCCGATGGTTAGAGTCATTGGTGTGCGTTGGCATTGCAGATGGCTGCCTCAGTTCTGTACCGGAAACAAATTCCTTGTGTGTGTAACATGCTTGGCCAAATAAAGGTGATTATTATTATAAGCTTTTGTAACTTTATGTAATCCTTGTATTTCATGTTAAGTTCGACAGTGGAAAAAAGATCCAAGCCAATCAAATTAGTGTCCACCAACTGAAGAAAAACTTAATTTCTCTATAGATATGATGGATATATTGACTAAAACAAAATGTGTATTCAACCTGTCTTGCGGAGTTCAATGTACAGATTCTATTAAATGCCATCTGTATATTGCAGACTTTATACTATCTCACCAGCCAAGAAGCAAACCCTCCACAGGCCAGAGTGGAGGGACATGCGTATTTCTGTGCTCTGGTTGAGGGGAAGGATGACGCCCTCCTCCAGGTAGAGCCAGTAATCGGTGCTTACGGCGATCCCCAAGAGGCCTAAGCCGCAAACAGCGAACACGCTGCTCAGCAACGTCAGTGCCTTCCTGCCGCATAGGCTCATACCACAGCCTCAACAGCAGGGGCGCGGGAAAGAGAGAGAGAGAAAGAAAAACATTTTTCACCAATTTTACCAAAGTAAAGGGGGCATGTACAGTATCAACTATGTAAACAAGCTAATCTATGCTAATATATTTTAGGTTGTTTAAAGATCAGTATGATTAATGGTTTTGGGGTGATACAGCAGACAGTGTGCCAGCCATTTCCAGGATATGTAAGTATGACAATAACAGCCTTGATCCAGAACATGAACAATTTATAACTACAGTCAAAAATCTTTTTATTCCTGTTTAAACTGATGACATTATTTAAATTTCTATGAAGGCCAGCGGATTATGTCAGAAAAAGTGATGGTGATTGGAAGCACTTGGGGTGCATACATAAGCAATCAGAGTTCACTAAAGCACAAAGGTCCAGTCTTAATGAGAAAAGACTATCATTAAACCTTGATCACAGTGCAATCAGAGGTCATGCATTTACAATGTCCATATAAGTGCTCGATTTTTGGTCATTTATCATCAAGCTCTAACTTGTGAACACGATGCATGCTTTCCACTGAAAAGGGTTTTTGTATTACTGTGTATTTTAAGACCCAGTTAATCCAAACTGCTGCAGCCAGAGTACTGACAGGAACTAGCAAGAGAGATCATATCTCTCCCATATTAGCTTCTCTCCACTGGCTCCCTGTAAAATCAACAACAGAATTTAAAATCCTTCCCCTAACATACAAAGCCCTTAATGACAAGGCTCCACCGTATCTTAAAGACTTCAAAGAGCCTTAGCATCCCAACAGAGCACTTTGCTATCAGTGTGCAGGTCTACTTGTGGTTCCTAGAGTCCACAGAAGTTTAATGAGCGACAGAGCCTTTAGCTATCAAGCTCCTGTCCCATGGAACCAGTTCGCAGTTTGTTGTGTTTGCTGTGTCTTGCTGCTTTTCTTTTCTTTTATCTCTCCTCTATCTACTCACCCCAACCGGTCGAGGCACAAGGCCACCCACCAAGAGCCGGGGTCTGTTGGAGGCTTCTTCTGTTAAAGGGAGTTTTTCCTCCCCGCTGTTGCCAAGTGTTTGCTCAAGGGGGATTTGTTGGGTTTTTCTCTATGATATTAAAAGGTCTAAAGATTACTTTGTAAAATGCCCTGAGTTGATTTTTGCTGTGAACTGGTGTCATACAAATAAAACTGAACTGAATTATTCAGATCAAGAGCAAGAAGGGGATGAGACAGACTGACATCTGATAAATTAAAGTGATACACATAGTTGAAGAAAAAGAGATTACAGGTATAGAAGACTTGATTTGACTGAGACAGATAGAATTAACCTAACAATAGCCTAACCTTGCACTAACATTAAAACAGGTTTTCACCCTAGAATTCAATGATTTACATGATGGGGGCCAGTATCTGGTCCAAACAAGAAAGTGTGAGTCCCCACATTGCTACAGGTTTCAGTCCCCAGAGTGTGAGTAATGCCAAACGTACACACAGCATCACCATATTCAGGCATTGTTCTGGATTATAAATAGTGACTAAACTCAGTTTAGGAAAAAAAAACATTTATTTTTCAGAAATATTCTCATTAAATGTTCAAGGCCACTGGGACCAACAAAGGCCTGCTGTGTCTCTCCACTTGCTGCGAGATACACAAACACCCTCTCTCCTGCATAAAGAAAAGCATCTCTTTTAAAAGACCTGCCCAAGTCTCCGACTAATGTCTGCTCCACCCTAAACATGGAAATAAACTCAGCAAAAGCTTTGCATTACTGTCACCCTAAAAGGGATTTTACTTTTGCAAAGACAGAAACTTAATTTTTTTTAATCAAATCAAGTCAAAATTACATTGATGATCTATGTTAAGGATGTTACACTGGTTCAGAGAAGACCTATAGTATAATCTCTGTAATGTCAAAATAATTTTTAAAACAGTTTAAGTAAAAGTAACAAATGATATTTTTTTATTTCAACCACTGATGTGATGCTGAGGAAGAAGGAGGAGCTGATAAAAGCAGAAAAGCTGGCCACACGGATGTTTGCTGGCTGAACAGTTTCTGTGTTGGTTCTCTCCTTGGATTCCTCATCCCCATGACTTCTTTGTTTTATGTTGTGGTTTTGTTTGTTGGGGTAATGGTTTGATTTAGGTTTAGGAGGGGAAACCTGAGTCCGACAGCCCATTGCGTGGCTGGCTCATGGTTTTCCCCTAGGTTTTGTTTCTTTTGGCCGGAGCTCCCACCTTTTTGTTTTGTCTGTTTCTGGGTTATTAAATATTACTTTTTGCACCAGTTACCGGCTTTGCCTTTCCCCTTGAGCCATGATTTGTTGGGACTGTAACACAAGGCAGATGCACACCGCTGCTCAAAGGAACGTAATAACCCTAAGTAGGGCATCCCCCTTCTCTCCACTTTAACACGCCTCCTGTCGATCTTAATTTAAACGGCTCACTGCAAAAAACATCACCGTTTCAAAGTGCAGTGCTAATGCAATGGCAAAGCAAAGACAGATGTCTCCAACCTTGTCAAATACTGTGTTGCAACACAGACCTCCAGGTCCCCTCCAGCTTGTCTGGCTTGATTAGATCTCCAAATAAGAGAAAAAGAAAAATATTGTTCACTTCAGCAGAGATTCCACTGAATTAGCCGAATACCCATGGATGTGCTAAAAAGCACTGAAAGCCACTGTAAAACAAATTCCACTCTAATTTAACTTTGTGCATTTGTTCATCTCTGTCAACAAAAGTAAATTAAATTATGCAAAGACAGTGAGCATCAAAAAGGCATCAGAAATTCAAGTATGGTTTTAAAAAACTATTTTGAACAATTAAATTTACAAAGGTAATATCACTCATTTACTTATATTAAGTCAAAATATACAATCAGTAGTGAATATCACAGTTCACTGTATAAAGACACTGTAAACCTGCACCAGTGTCAATCATCCAGTAAATTTGAAAAAGCTACTTCAACATTAAAATTAACACTATATCAATTATGATTTTTTTTATTAGTTTTTTAACAAATTGAACTGAACTAGGAAAGTAGGCTTATTCTCATTTATCCTAATTATGTCTCTGTATCTGGCAATAGCCATGGACAGAGGTATTATGTTTTCAGATTGTCCATCCTAGCTTTTGATGGTCAATAGTCAAAGGTCAAGGTCATAGTGACTTCACGTCTGTCCCATTCCCATGAATTTGACTGGTTGGCAGAGGAATGCAACCATGAAGTGCAATTCTAGTTTATTATTTTTATGTATTTAATAATACAATTTTGTTGTACTTCTTGTACAATGACAAAGATTCTATTCTATTCTAGTGTAATAAATCAGATTCACTAAGGTATGTTCTCTCTACATACATGCTGTATATACATATTTA